GCGTAAGACCTCCCCTGCCCCACACTACTGCCATCATCTTCAAGGCCCCACTCAATCTGGTCATATGGGACCTCATCGGTACCACCTTCTTCTAATGTCACGATCATGTGATCCTTGGCCTTCAATTGGTCTGAGATGGTACGATTCTTCCACTTCTTCCCCTTCTCCAGGTCCTTATGCCAGAAAGTGGTAACTGGCATAGACTTCGACTCATACACGACGACTTCGCGACTCAATTGATCGTATGTGATGCCCGCCTGCTGAGACTTGTCAAAGAAATGCCCACGTAGGGTCTCTGGAATGGCACGATAAAACAACTGAACCAGCTGGGGCTGGGACGGCTACCAAGTCGTCCATGGTACCCTTGAGTGCCTTGGCACTCCTCCACTGTCATGAGTGGATCGTTTGAAGCTTATCAGAGGCTCTTATGTCTCTCGTTGGGTCAGCGAAACGCTCCTTGAGGAGCCTGAGGAATTGGGAAAGAGGGGTGACTTTACAATATGCAACCAGGTTGTTTTCGCAACCGGTTGTACGCGCGAGAGACCTGGCGAAGCTAGCCGCTTCGTCCTTCAGGGCCTCAAAGGCCACGAGGACTTGCTCCTCCATCAGGATAAGTTGGAAATAAATGTAACTATTGACACTGGCCTCCCAGWTGTCAAAGTTATCGTCCTTCTTCCCCCCGTACGCGTCTGGGAACTTAAGTTTCATTGGGTCCTTACGGGGTCTGCCCTCTCCTTCTACAGCGTCTGCAGCTTTGGCACCCTGAATGGCGCCCTCACAAAACTTCCCTACGTTGTCTCTCAATTGCTTGACTTCGCCCCCAATATGGGTGACGATTTTGCGGGCAAAATCCCTGAACCCGGACCGCATGGCACTCAACGCTACATCCTGGTTCCAGCTTGCCTGGCGCTCCTCCATCCAGGCCTTGCTCAACACCTCTAGATAGCCCAGTACTTTGCCCCACTTGGCCTTATCATCTGGCTGGGCCAGCACCTCCGCTCTACACTCCTGCACCTTTGCCACTGCGGCGGTCATCTTATTCACTTCCTCTCTCCTCCTCTTCTTCTCCCTCTTCATTCTCAACTTCCATGCTAACTTTTGCTCGTCTTCCCTCTCTCTTCGTTCTATTGGGTCTGTCATGGCCGCTAGCTCAGCGGCCAGCGCAGCCTTCTCATCCTTAGTCACATAGGACTCCGCCTCCTCGTCTTCCCCCAACGATAAATTAGCGACCCACTCGCTGATCTTC